GTCCAGGGATGCTGCTAAAAATCCAGCGGTGCCCAAGGGCAGCGTCCCCTGAAAAAGAATTACCCAGCCCAAATGTCAACAGTGCTATGCTCCCACCCAACCTTCCAGCATCTTCTGGAACATCTCCAAAGGCTCCCTTCAGAATACAGAGTTAGTCCCGCAGACCCCTCCTACCCCAGTTTCCCAAAAAAAATTCCCTCCCTAAGTCTCATCCGGCAAGACAATGTGGAGGGATGGGAGAGAGAAAAAGAGAGGAGACCATTCTGGGGACCATGAACGAAGATGTTCCCTTGGTCCACCAACAACCCCCAACTCCCACAAAAGAGAAATCCCAGACTTGGGCAATCTTTGGTCAAACAGGAAAATGTAAGGCTGAACTGAAGGGGCAACCCCTTGACCCCACCTGTCCAGTGGCTAAAGTTGGGGTACTTTCTCTTTGCACGGAAGTCCATGCTCATGGGCAGACACCGGGACCTCCGCTCCCCGGCGGCCAAGAGGAGAAGCGGGCGGGACAGGTGGGCGGCAGCTCCGCTGATGGTGCCTGGGTGATGCGGCCCTCACTTGTTCTCAATCAGGGTCTGCACCTTGAACACGAGGTCCCGGGCCAGCTTCATGACCTGTTTGGTATTGTGTCGCTTGGCCATTTCATTAAAAAATTTGATGATGTCTGTGAAATCCATGTTGTTCTCCAAGATGATGTCACAGTAGACCTCCACCAGCGCCAGTGCAATGAACAGCACGTAGTGGGCAGGTGAGATGTGTCTGGCTGCCCAGATGATCTCTCAGATGGAGAAGACATCATCGTAGAGGAGCTCTCACTTGAAATCCAGCAGGAATCAGCGGTAGCAGAAGTAGAAGTGAGTGTAGTCCCCATTCTGATGCATCAATTCAAAGAGCTCTGAGTCCAGGATCTGGATTAGTGACCTCATGTTGGCAGAGTGTGTGTCCATGGTGCCTCCATGGGGGAAGTTCTGGTTCATCCTCTTCATGAGCTCCGTGAAGCAGCTGAAGGTGAGGGCCTCGTCATCCAGAATGACCAGCAGTGAAGCCAGGAGGTCACACATACCCTGGACATAGCTGATCTCAGTGTGCTGCCAGAGATAGCTTTGTACAAGTAAAGAACACATTCGTGCCACTGTGCTTTTGTCCCAGCAGTTCCCTCTGTCTGGAATTCCCATCTGCCTGCACATGATGTTCCGTAGCTTCTCCAGGTTGGCGGGCATGAAGTACCAGTAGTTGCGGTCACACCTTTGCACGTCCCCCTTGATGGGTGCAGGTTCACCGTGTACAGGTCCCGCAGCTCCAGGGAGTAGCTGGCACCACTGGAAGACAATGGGATGCCTCGTTGTTGGCAGATGTGGTCACAGCCAGAGAAGCCAGGGCAGGGAAGAGACTTTCCATCTCGGGCTCCTCTGAGAGGTTGTCCTCACTGCCCACCTGGCTGTGCTTCTCCGCCTCACTGCCCCTCCAGCCCTCCATCCCGGTGCCCTCCTTTTCAAGTAGAGTCACGTCCATGCTGCCAGTGATGGACATGAATTCGCCCATGCTCTCGTTGGCGAGAAGGTCGCTCTTCAGGCTGTCCTGCACGGCCAGCTCCTCACGGGGGACCTCGTCCCGGGAAGTGGTGGCCTTGCTGCTCTGCCCGTCATCCACGCTGCTACTGGGTCACAGTACCAGGGGGGCATGCCTCTGGGCATCCATGATGCTGTCTTCTGTGCTCAGGCTGGGTTCCGAGTGCTCCAAGAGGCCCAAGGAGAAGTTGTGGGAGGAAGGATGGCCAGAGTCTGGGGAACGGGTCCCACTTACCAGGTTTCCACTGGGGATCTTGGGCTGTTTCTCCTCTAGTCTACCTTCTATCTCCACTTGCTCCACCTCGTCCACAGACCTGTGTGCTGCTGCTGGAGTCACTGTGCAGGCAGATGTTCTGACGGCCTGAGCTGCAGCTCTGGGAGGACTCACTGCTGATGGTGGAGTCCCGGTGCATCAGCCAGTGCAGGTGGCTGTCCAGACTGGCCCCTGATGAGCACTTGGCCAGGGCAGCCGCGTGGGACTCCCACTCCGTCTGACACACAATTGCCTTGCAGCCCAGCCACTCGGACTTGGTCTGTGCGTAGCAGGCATGAATCTGCTTGTCCACCTCCTTCCTCTTTGTTTCTGTCATCCCGAACTGGTAGTGGCCCAGGAGGGCCACACGGCGTTGCGGATCTCCGGCTGGACGCCCCCGTAGTAGATGAGACGCAGCAGCTCCTGCTCCTCATAACTTGTGCTGTCCTGGAGGTACTGCTCCCAGATCCCGGCCGTCAGCCCGTGTCCAGCATCACAGGCAAGTTTGGAGACACAATCATGTGACTGACCAGGGCTGACAGGTGGGTCCTCACAGTGGACAAGTGTCTGCAGTAGGCAAGCCATCCATGGAAGGCTCTGGAAAGGATCTGGTACTTCATATTGTCACACAGAAGTTTCAAGGGAGCCCTCTCATGGTTGCAGCCATTGGCTGAGCCACCATCAGCCGAGCCACTCTGAGCAGGATAAGCAGGAGGATTTCCGGGGGCCGGTTGCCATAGGGGTGGCAGGTTGCTCACAGAGACATCTATCAGGTCATGGGGTATGAGGGATTGAGGCTTCAGGCAGAATATGGGGAGGGTGGTGTCCCACTTGGTCTGAACTCACCGACTGTCCCTGGCCACCACTAACATGGACCAGCCTGCAGGAACCACCATCCACGCAGGGCCCATAGAGACGGGAGAAGTGCTGCCCAGAGTCAGAAGCCACTCTAAAGAATATGATCCTGGGTGGGAGGTGCTGTGATCCCCATTCTACAGCCCTGGAGAGGGCAAGTCACTTGGCCACATTGCAGTGGCAGACTTGAAAGAAGTGATGTGTTCTTTCCCTAAGCCAGCAGTTCTCATCCGGGAGCAATTTTGCCCCCAGAGGCCACTTGGCAATATCTGGAGACATTTCCGGTTGTCACAACTCAGCGTGGTGGTGGGGGTGGATTTGCTACTTGGCCACTCGTGAAAGGAGACCAGGGATGGTGCTCAACATCCCACAATGCACAGGACACCTCTCACGAATTCAGACTGCATGCCAGGGTAGATGATCCTGAACACAATCCGTGGCCTCGTCGTCTTCCTTGTCAGAGGACGTGAACTCGGATGAACCCTGAGGGCTCCACTTTCGCGGTTTGGGAAATACTTTGCCCTTCCACTGCGGAGACCAGAGCGGTGGGTCCAGCTGCCCGTGAGGGAGCAGCCCGTTCTCCAGGCATGAGAGGAACTGCAGGAGGTGCCCTCCGTTGGGGAAGCGGAAAGGCGGTCTCTGGATCCCATCCTGGCTGACCAACACCACTGTCCCGCCACTGTCCACTTGCTGGTGGCAGTGCAGGTAGACGATCTCTGGGCGGATGGTCATGGCGTAGTCCCAGAAGACACTCTTATACTCCAGGTCCCCCACAGACCCGTTCATCAGCTGGTTAGGTGTCCACTTCAAGGTCATGATGTCAGCCGCCTGGTGCAGGGACAGGTACCCTGGCACAGCCTCCATGTCATCCCTCGGCTGAACCAGAACATTGTTTTTCCATAGAGCAGGGTGGCCCGGGAGTTCCAATGCAGGGACTCCACATAGTCGCAGGTGGAGAGAGACGGCTGGTCTTCCATGCTGCCACTCGAATGCCTCTTCTGGATGCAGAGGACAGGACACTTGGTGGGTGAGTCCTGCCACAGGTGTGAGCTGTGGGTGTGGTGCCTCTGGACCAGCTCATCGGCTGAGGGATCCGTCCAGAAGTGATCTGAAGTTTTCATCTTGGTGTACCCCAGGGCACAGAGCCCCGCCAACAAAGACGCAAGTATGGGGCCATCCACAGGGTCCATCAGGAGAGCCTCCTTCTCATAATACTTACTGCACCCTCCTTTGCTGTGTGTCCCCGGACAGGTGACCACCCTCTCTGATCTTCAGTGTTCTCAGCTGCTGTTTTCCACAAGGTAATGCACAATTTTGTCCAGGACTTTCTTGAACAAGGCTGTGTGGATCCACAGGTGCTTGATGGCGAGTGGGGACAGGTTGGGCAGTTTTGGCAGCTTCCACACATTCTCTTGGAGCCCCTGGATCTGGTTTCGTGCACTCTCGATCAGCTGCTCCAGGTCCTGGGCCTTGCAGCTCAGCTCCTCGGCTGGCAGGAAGCTCACACCCACCATCATGAAGAGAGCTGCAATCTTGTTGCTGCACAGGAAGCCAGCCACCTGCCTCCGCAGTCCATGCAGGACGCAGGCCTCCACCGCTGCACAGAAGGAGGCGATGTGGCTGCTGTCTTCATGGGCACACTTGCGTGTGACGGCCTCCTCCATGATCTGCTTCACCTGGAAGACAGGGCAGCCGGAGGGGGAGACCCTGACCCACCTGGGGTGCAGATGCCCCAAAGGGCTGGGCTGCATCACCCATCCCTGTCTGAGATAGCCCCACATTTCACAGTGAACTGAATTAATTTTCCAGGCTCTTTGCCCAGTGTCACATCAAAAATGTCATCTCCTTCCCTGACTACATAAGCTAAGGCATCCACCTCCAACTCCATCCACCTCTATTACAGTTCCGTCAGAGTACTTCCTGTCCTATTTGTTTATTTGTTTACTGTCTGTCTCCATCTTCCAGAATATAATTTCCCCAAGGGGAGGGCCTCGTCTGCCTTGTTCACTGCTGTATCTATGGAGCTTGGAATAGTGCCTGGTGCATAGCAGGTCTCCAGAAACAGTTTCTAAGTGGATGGATGAATGAATGAAATGGATACATTAAAAAAAATCAGGAGGGTGGAGTATGAAAAATCAGCCCTGGAATCTGGTCGACTTGGGTTCAAATCCCTGCTCTGGTACCTGCCAGCTGGATTTGTGATCTTATTTTGGGAAACAGGCTCAGCAACATGTAGATGCTCTCCCAGAAAGGTAGAGCGGCCCAGAGTGGAGACAGAATCCAAACCGGGTCTGACTCTGTGTGCTTTTCCTCCCACGCTCAAAAATATGGAACGCTTCACGAATGTGCACGTCCTCCTTGCACAGGGGCCATGCTGGTCTTCCCTGTATCGTTTCAGTTTTAGTACTTGTGCTGCCGAAGCAAGCGCCATTATTTCTTCAAACAAATTTTCTACTCCTTTCTCTCTCTCTTCTACTTCTGGGACTCCTATAGTAGAAATGTTGGTCCACTTGATGTTGTCCCTTAAGTCTCTTACCATATCTTTACTTTTTCATTTTTTTTCTTTTTGCTGCTTTAATTGGCTGAGTTCCACTGCCCTGTCTTTCTTCTGCTTCATTTAATATGGTGTTGAGCCCTCTAGTGTACCTTTCAGTGCAGGTTTTGTACTCCAGCTCTGTGACTCCTAGTTGGTACTTTCTTATACTTTTCTATTTCTTTGTTTAAGTTCTCACTGTGGTCATCCATTCTTATTACAAGTTTAGGGAGCATTTTTATGACCATTACTTTGAACTCTTTACCAGGTAAATCACTTATCTCCGTTACAATAGAATATTTTTCTGTGGTTTTACCTGGTTCTTTCATTTGTAACCATTCTTCTAGCTCTTCATTTTCTTGACTCTCTGCATTGCTTTCTATGCATTAGATTTAACAGCCACCTGCCCCAGTCTTTAAGGAGTGGCTTCATTCAACCCTGGTTGTGTCTCAAACCTACGTGACTGTCCAAGTAGCCTATTTTGTTTTTAGTGGCTCCCAATAGTTCAGGGTGTGCCAAGACCTGTCAGTGTCCCAGAGGACAGGATCTCAGTCAGCGCCTAGATTCAGGCTGATTGGAAGTCAGACCCTCAGGCAGCAGCTTTAAAAAATATATAAATACATATACAGTGCTGGGGGAGTACAGATGTCAGGCCTGCTGGCCACCATAGCCAGGCAATTTAACAGATGTTTCCTGGCAGCAGCTGCAAAAAAAATCAGGGTGCCAGAGGAGGGTACAAGCTCCTATTTAGGAGACACCAGTGAGCTGGAGTGAGGCAGAGGGAGAGTGTAAGGATGGTGACTGCCAACCTCTGCCCCCAGAGAGTTCTCCAGCAGGTCCCCGGATGTGTTTTCAGTTAGATGCCTGCCCCTCAGGCCAATGCTTTAAGACAAGCAAAAAAGCCTCTTTCACAAAGTCTGGGCATTGGTCCCTGGAGCCACTGAGTCTGAGTGCAGAAGCCCTTTAAGAGACTTTCTGTTCACTATAGCCCGTGGGTCTTCTGGATGTGAACCTTGCTGGTTTTCTATGATAGGTGATTCGGAGACTCATCTCTCAGGCGCAGATCTCACAAGTTGGGGTGCCTGATGTGGGGTTCAAACCTTCTGCTCCTCAGGGAGAAGCTCTGGGATTTGAGTTCCCTCCTGGATGTGCCAGGAGTAGGGTTTAATGGCAAGAATGTGTCTCAACCTCTCCTACCCACTTCAGTGTGGGGTTTGGGTTTTTTTTGCTTTTTTCTCATTTGGCCGGTGTGTAAAAGTTGCTCAGCTAGTTTTTAGGGAATTTTTTTCTTTTGAGGAAATTGTTCCATATGTAGCTATAGACTTGGTGTGTCCATGAGTTCAGGATCTTCCTATGTTGCCATCTGAACTAGAACCAAAAAGACTTCCTCTAGATTTTATAAGAGGACTAAGCTGGAGAAAGGAGTCAAAGACATCCTTTAAGATTTCAAGCCTAGGAAACTAAGAAAGGAATGGTGCCAAGCAGAGAAATAACAAGAAAATCAAGGCATGGGAAAGGACGTGGACCTAGGGAAACAGATGAGTTTAATTTTAAACAGGTTGACTTTCAGCGATATCATTTATCCAGACAAGGTAGGGCTCTAGGCAGGTGGAAGTGACTCTAAAGCTTGGAGGTGTCAGAGCCAGAGACATAGACTTGGGACTCATCCAGAAAGAGGCTCTCAAAGCAGATGAATTGTTCAGGGGGACCACAGAGAAGAGCAAATGGGAACAAGGCTGATTCTTCCTAGTCTGAAGGAGGCTAGTAAATCACTAAAGAAGAGAGAGAGAAAAAAAAAAGTAGGGGGAGAAATGGGGCAGGTAACATCACTCATGAGATGACGGTCTCAGTGTGAGGATAAATAACCAAAGTCAGTATGTGGCTAGAATAAGCAAAATGCTGAGATCAAAAAGACTTTTAGAAATCACGTATTTCAAAAAATAAATAAAAAAGAAATCACATAGTTCAAGCCCTCATTTTATAGATGAGGCCATTGGGTCTCAAAGAAGTTAGTTTTTCTACCCAAGATAGCACCGACACTGAGGTGCACCCATGTAATTTTATCTCTGCATCCTGGTTGAGTGTTCTTTCAGCTGAACTGAACCCTGCTGTCTTGTCACTTTCCTGATTGTCATGTAATGTAATCTATAATACACCACATTTAAGCTCTTAAAGACAAGGACTGTGTGTGTGTGTGTGTGTGTGTGTGTGTGTGTGTGTGTGTGTATTTAAACTAGATAAGAAAGACTAAATGCAACCTATTGGTGTCCATAAATAATGGTACATGATATTATTGTATCATGTTCACGATGATCCTGTGAATGACCGACTGGAGAAGTGTAACAATAAGATAGACAGAAGTAGAAAATATGTTTTGTTTTGTAAATACTAGTTTATTTTTCTATTATAAGCTGGCAGACACTTATTTTAATGAAACAAAGAAAATATAGAAAAGTATATATTAAAAAAATCACTGGTAATTTCACCACCCACAATTACTCTTAAATTTTGGTGATTTTTCTCATGTTGTCTCTGTTGGTTTTTACAATCGAGGTCGTACACAAGAGACAATTTGTTCTCTGTTTTTTCTGTTGATATTATATTACAGACATTTTCTGTAGTTGACACTGGTTTTTTGTGATTTCTTTTTTTCCCTTTCAGTTTACTGAGACATAATTGACACTCAGCACCGTAGAAGTTTAAGGTGTAGAAGACTGACTTACATGCAGCAGGAAGTGACTATCATAGTAAGTTTAGGGGACATCCATCATCTCATATAGATACAAAAATTAAAGAAATTAAACATTTTTTCTTGTTATGAGAACCCAAGATTTACTCTTAACAACTATCTTACGTAACATATAGCAGTGTGAATTGCATCTGCCGAGCTGTGCATTACACCCTAGTACTTACTGTGGCTGACACTCTTAAATGCCTCCTCACATCCACCCTTCCCTTCTTCTTTACTAACAGAACCGGGAGTTTGTTTAAGGAGAAATATTTCCAACTAAAACTTTCACCTTCCTGGAGCCCTTTGCAGCTGGGAGTGGTGACGTGATGCAGTTCTAGATGGTGACACGGAAGGAGAGGTTGCTGGTGGGGGTGGGGCTTCTGAGAAAGCTTTTAAAAGAACAGGCTCAGCTGGCATTTCATTTGTAGCCTTCTGACCCTTCCCTCGTCTTCCTGTCAGGGATGTAGATAAGATACGTTGAGGGTGAGGGGAACAGGAGCTACCTTTGACCATGGGGATGAACGCTACCCATATAGATGGTGGAAAAAAGGATAGAAAGACCCTGAATCTTTAGTTCTATCATAAAGTACCTTTATCAGCCCTGGACTGCATTCTCTAGACTTCCTGATGTCTGGGATAAAGGCTTTAAGCCATAGTTCTGTCAGGTTCTGTATTACTTCCAGCCAAAAACAATATTGATGAATACATTTAGTGGATAAATTTTAACTATTCCCCCTTTGCATCGTAAAGCGTGGTTGTGCATTTAATTTGAAACTCATGCCTCATCGTCTTTCAAAAAAATGTCCTGAGGTAGCTTGTAATAAATGGCACAGATAGTACAGGACCATTCAAACCGTGGTGCAGGATATGATCGAAGTAAAGCAAGGGAAAGACAGTTATTCCAGAAAAAACTAGGTGAAGGAGAGCTACTGATGTTAAATCTAAAATTTACCTCTTGAGTTTCTGGCACCAAACTCTGGTTATCTAACACCTGAAACCATACCAATGTATCAATTTCTTCCTAACACACAGTTAAAAAAAAAAAAGTCTCGTGTATCTAATCAAGGGCTGTTGAAAATTATGAAAGTCTTTTAAAGCAGTTTTTAAATGACGCAGCAGTTTTATCATAAATTACCAAATACCAAATCCCAATACAGGGCAAAATTCAAAATACCAAATTCAGGCTAGCCCCTTCCCCTAAAATATAATTTCAGGTGGTCTGCTGCTGTCTTTGTGGGGGTGGGGGGGGTTGGTCAAAACAATTGAGAGAAGCTATATAAAATGGAAGAGAGTTTGAAGGACTCACAGACCTCTCCATTTCTCTCCAGAGACTATGTTTTCCTCTACCTGATCAGAAAGAGAGGTCTCCCACTGGAACACCTCGTCTGCAGCTTCCACAGCTGCCATCACCACACTTGACCTTATTCACCTGGAGTACACTGAGTCCATTACAGTGATCTCATAATCTCATAATAATCAGCTGCCACATTCATTGACCGGGTGTGGGGAGGACACCAGCCACTGGAATTCTCAGTATTCCCACATGAAAAACCAGGCAAAACATTTTTTAAAAAAATACCCAAGTATCAGGAAAAGCTTTTTATGTACTTGTTTTCTTGTTTTTCTGAAGAACTGGTTATGCTTTCTTCTTTTGGACAATGTAGATAGGTAGCTAATTATATTTCTCTTTTTTTCTTTGGTTTCCAGGAAACCTAGAAGCAAATTTGGGGTGGAGGGTATAGCTCAGTGGTAGAGTACATACCTAGCATGTATGAGGTCCTGGGTTCGATCCCCAGCACTCCATTAAAATAAATAAATCTAATTCTCTCCCCTCAGAAAAGCAAAAATCCCTAACCCCCCCAAATTTAAAACAAAAAAAAGTAAAAACAATATTAAAAATTTAAAAAAAATGTTAAAGAAGCAAATTTGCACCCCAGCCTCGTCTGTAGATCCATCATTTCTATGTAGTATTTATTTTCACACTCACTTTTGTTTATAACGTCAATAAATTAGACAATTTGTACTACATATAAGATATACATAAATTTTATTACATATTGTGTGCATATATAATTTATCTCCCCCCTCAATCTAGATTTTCCCTGGATATGAATTTTTAAAACTTATTTCTCATTATACATATGTGGTTTCAAATCCGTGGTAG